AGCGTTTAAAACTTACATAGAGTAAAAATTATTTTTGTCGTTCCATTAGATATCGTAGAATTATTTCTCGTAGTCCAGCACTTATCCTTGAAAATAACATTCCTAATTGTATAGTATAATTTATTACTTTTTATTCTATGATAAGTACTAAAGTGTGTGAATTAATTCTACGATAAGAAATGGAACAAAGGAAATAGTTTTTATTGTACAATTATTGTACAATAAGTATTACACTGCAAGAAGTAAATGTCATTACGAAAAGTTTCTCACATTATCGTAAGGTAATAAAACTATGTCATTATTAAATTCATTATTAACTTTATTAACTAACTTTCTTACATTACGAAAATGTAAGAAACCTATCGTAGTGTCATTTACTTCATACACTGTAATAATTATTAAACAGTAAAAATTATTTCTTCCATTCCACTATTTATCGTACAATTATTTCTCATACTTTAGTACTTATCGTTGAATAAAAAGTAGTAAATTATGCTATACGATGAGGAATGTTATTATTCCACCATAAGTACTGGACTACGAGAAATAATTCTATGATATGTAGTGGAACGGAAGAAATTATGTTTACTGTATAAGAATTATTACAATGCAAGAAGTAGATGACATCACGATATGTTTCTTACATTATCGTAGTGTAAGAAAGTTGGTTAATAAAGTTAATAATGAATTTAATAGTGATATAGTTTTCGAATCTTACGATAATGAGTGAAACGTTTCGTAATGACATTTGTTTCTCGCAGAGAAATACTTATTGTAGAGTAAAAATTATTTCTTCCATTCCACTACTTATCGTAGAATTATTTCTCGCAGGCTAGTATTTGTCGTTGGATAATAATATGCTTCATTAAGCAGTGGACATAATATTTTAACTTAAATAGCAAATTGACAGTTTGAATTATGCACACGATTTTAAAAGTACTTACAATGTGTAGCCACTAGATGGCAGTTCCATACTTTCCCTTGGGTTGGGGAAATAGTCGCGCGATGAGAACGAGCCTTGAGGGACAACTCGGCTTTGAATGTGTGTTCTCACGAGCGTGGATTTTGCTCGCGTATGGGTTCGTAGGTGAGGGAGACGACGACGAATTTGATCAAACTAACGTTGTCGAAATTTCAAACTGCTATAACTCCAGAACACCTTCACGGATTGTAATGATTAAGGTCTCAAAAAAAAAAGGAAAAAAATGAACGAAGCGTTTCGTGTAGGTTAAAATGTTCTTCGGTCTTTAGTATGTCAACACTGGCAGAGTGAAGAAAATTAAATGCCCGCTGGCAAGATGTTTCGAGTATATAGAGTGGTAGCGGCCATGAACTTGTCTGAGCCGCTACCGCGTCTCTTGATAGATATATTGTAACTTTTTTCGCGTACCGGTCCTTTCTCCCTTGTTCGGTCGCGGCGTATCGCGCAATCGGGCGGTCGCGAGGAAGTTATTAGATTTGCCTTTTGGCAACTTCCTGGATTTCCTTTTTGGCAGTCTCAGATTAGCTAGGGCTTTTAATGGCGTAGAGCCTCAGCCTCTAAGCATTTCTCATCAGTGAAAGCCGTATGGTAGGGAATCCAGGAATTTTGTGTCATATCTGAGGATGGTTCGGTCGTGGACTCGAAGTTTATAAGGGTCACCGTGTGTCTTTCTGTCGCGTCAAGTATTGTATTCGATTGAATTTCCTTGATTTTGCAAATTGCAACTCTAATCGAGATTCTGTGTGGACGAACTCCACGGTCACACTCTGTACAATGTGTTCCCGTGCCCCTTTAACAAAGGGGGGACGGCGCCATGCCGTCACGCCCTCCGTGTGTGAGTGTAAAAGAACGTACTGAGAGTCTGGATCGTCCCGTACCTCTAGTCACCCGGGGAACGTCGCGATGGCGTCACGCCGGGGGGCAGGTGCACGGATACAAGACCGTTCTTGAGCCTGCGAAGGAGGATGCGAGTCGTCTCGAGCGGCCAGACACTCGGGGAACGTCGCGATGACGTCACGCCGAGGGGCAAGCACAGGAGTCCGACGTCGTCGTTCTGGTTATATGTTTCCCCGTCGTCCGGTTTCGTCTCGAGCGGCTTTACACCCGGGGAACGTCGCGATGACGTCACGCCGAGGGAGCAGACGCGAGACCGGCCGCGGAGCGTCTCGCTACCGAGTGGAAGGGGGAGTGGCTCTATTCCGTCACGCTTCGCACGGTAGGCGAGTCGGCTCGCCGAATTTCCTACGATTTTCGACGAAAATTCCCGGAAGGGGAATCCGCCTAAATGGCCACCGTTCGCAGGTGTTCCGAGGTATCCCTTTCCGGGCGCTTTGTCAGATTTTCTCGGGTGCCCGGTTCCACCTGCCTACTAAGGGCACTGTATTTCTAATTGCCCGTGAGGAGTGGCCCTGTCGCCTTGTCTCCTCGAGCCTTTCAATGCCCTCTTGCCAGGTGATGCCTGGCAAGGGTATCGCGAAGGTAGGATAATTTATCTGGAGGAGCAGCGCAATGCCACCACGTCCAGAGGCTCTTTCGACCGGTAGAGAACGATCAGAAAGGACGTCGATTACAGAAAATCCACGCCTTTTATACCCGCGGAGTACATGGGTTCTATTACTATATCGTCGGGTTCCCACTCTGGCCCGCGTTCTTTGACGTGCTATTGGACACGATGGTTACCCTTTAGACGATTTGTAATTTCTTGCCCTTTGATTCGCCGGGGTCAAGGCCGTTGTCATTTCCTCCAATCGGGGTGACTCATATCAACGTTATATCAATTTAATCGCGATGTATTAATTCGCGATCTCGTGACCCTGCCCGTGTTGTGTGCGCGCGAGGCTCTCTCTCGACGCGCCGAGCAAGCGGTTGTTTTTGTATCCCCCGCGAACTAGTTATCGCGTTGACTACCCGTCGCGGGGACAAGTTCGATTTGTCTCTCATAGGTGTCGCGTCGCGTACCTCCGACACGTCACAATATATTTTTTTTGCTTCGCTTTCTTATAACACACGCTTTCTTACATGTATTCATACGGATTTCTATGGAAGGTTTACCTTGCTTTACTAGTACGCAATTTCAGGGTTTCTGCGTGAGAATATATCTTCTGACTGACTAACGAGAAGTTTTGTAACAAAATGCCAATACAAAAGCCGCATATAATTTTTTTTTGTATTGTCTGTCTGTCCACTTATTGCGGGATTCCCTGGATCTACTTAGTTTGATATACTATGCTTACATATATTATTTATTTCGTGCACTATTACTTACATCTACAATTATTTGCATGTTCTTTATATCTTATCTGGAATGTCTGAATAGATGCACTGAGAGTGTTTGTGTTTGCTCAGAAACGTTCTCATTGCCCCAAACTCCTTTCTACGTCTTGAATTGTGAATTCTAACCCTCCTCTCTCCTGCTTTGGTGGGCAGAGAAGAAATCAGTGGGATTTACTTTGTTTCCCGACTTGTCATAAACGCAAATAATAAGATATACCGAGAGAAGAAGGAAACGCGGGAAAAGAAAAATGGCAAACTGCAACCCAGTAATTGCGAGAACATTAAGTAGGGCATCTACATGGACGATAAACGATGTGTTTGTCAGACAGAAAAATCTACGTGTGCATGAATATTCATGTGACGTTGGTTGTCCCGAGATGTGTCGGTCAAAATATTGATATTATAGTTTTTCAAATGTGCCGGAGCATTTCTGCTTATGTTTTTGTATATCCGGCAACATTTCGTTCTGGGGTGCTTGATCGATTCCCCTTTGGACCCTCCTACCGCACCGTTTGCAGCAATATACGAGGATTAACTTCTTGGCGATTTCCAGGTCCACATCCTCTTCGTTATCAATGTCCTCCCCGATATGGACCGAGATTCTCCGCTTTTCCGCTCGAAATGCTCGACTGTGGGCGGAGTTTTCTGCCCTGTCTTGTCCAGTTTTATCCAAATACGCATGGATAGTTTCGTGCAGTATTGTCTTCACCAGGACAGATCTCCTTTGGCTCTCGTGGCGACCCTTCGAGACGTGAATTGTGTTTGTATGGTAATTACATCTATCATACTCTACTTTCAGTTGGGAGTTCCATCTCATGGTGTATCCCTTAAGCCTTCTTGCAAAGTATTTCTCGTTAAATTGATGAAGCATCTCGCTAATGTTGGGGTTCTGGTCGCTCTCCAGTCTTGGATCGACTGGAGAAGCGGTGGTAGAGTCGAAGTCATGTGGCATGGGTATCTCCGAGGTTATTCCCAAATTCCGACCCATTTTCCCCCGGCTTTCGGGCACTTTCGGGCTGCTTCTCGTTTTTGTGATGCAGTTTTCCATGTTATAATCTTTTTCTGTAGTGTCGTGTGTAAGTGTGTGCGTGGTTCTCCTTCTTAGCGATTGTAAAGGTTCCCTTGTAGGAAAAATAAAGGGAAGGGTAATCGCGATTTGTGGAAGAGTGTTTCGGGCATTGAGAGCTTACTTCTATATAAATACTCATGTAACATTTATATTGCCTAATGCATTTCGCAAGCAGTTGTAATAACAATAATGTATTTGGACAGGATTATTATGCGTGTCTAATTTTATTTTTGTGGACGGTTATTCCCCGGCCGTCCACGTCGATCCTTACATTTTCGTTATCCATAACTTGAACGACTGTGTAAGGACCATCCCATTTATTGCAAAATGGTCCGATTTGCGGTTCTTTTTTTCGATAATCTATATCTCCAACTCTAAAATCTTCTGGGTTGGTGCATCGGTCATATAACCGTTTCGATTTTTCTTTTGCTGCAAGCAAATTATGAGCAAATTCGTTGAACTGCACGAGTTCGATAAAAGCGATCTACCAAGTATTCTTCGTATTCTATGTTTTTATTAAATACGTGTCTAGTACTCGATGGTAGCTTAGCCAAGTTGGCAAACAACAGTTGATACGGCGTGTAGCCAGTTGCTTCTTGCTGGCTTGTGTTATATGATAACATTGCCAAGGAACACAAAGTGTCCCATTCGCTCTCCTTGTCTACGTACTACTTTATATATTCTTTTAAGACATGGTCGGATCTTTCAATCGAACCATTACTCTCTGGATGGTACGCAGTAGTATTAAACAATTTAATTCGGAATATCTTTTCCATCTCTTTGAAAAGACGAAGTAAAATTTGATCTGCAATCGGCGAGAATTGAACCCGGACAACCAAAATAACTGACAAACCTCTCGACGAACGCCTCGGCAACCGTGACCGCGTCCTCTCTTAGGATGGGGTTAGCCAGAGAAAATTTAGTAAGGAGGTTTTGGACAGTTAACACATATTTGTTACCACGTGAGGTCGGGGGTAATGTGACGACGTCCATTGCTATCTTATCGAACGGTGCTCTGGGGGTGTCCGTAATGACCATAGGTTGACGCATGGACGTTTGACGGTTTTCTTTAATTGACAGTTTTACGGCAGTTTCTTATAAACGTTCTTACGTCTTTCCTCATTCCAGGCCAAAAGTACTCCTGTCGCAAACGGTAAAATGTTTTGGTAACGCCCTTATGACCGCCTATCGCCGCGCTATGGTACTCTTCGATCAAAGTCCGGCGGATTTCGGGATTCGGAATGGTGCGCTCAAGACTGCATATACTAATTCGAACCGGCGCGTCGTTGAATACACTTAACAAAATAGATTGTATTTCGGACCAGCTAATGTGGTCGATATTTTCCGTCCTTGCAATTCGAAACGATGAAATTCTTGATAGGATTACCATATCGTAAAGGGCGTTGAAAGCGTCCCTAAAATCGTCATTGATGCTCATCGTTTGCCTTTATAGGGATGATAATAACAGATTTACGACCGTGTTTTACTAGTCTCGGCAGCTTGAACGTCAAATCTGGTGGGAAATCTATGGACCTCGACAGTTCCCTTGCTCCACCCTCGATCGGTGTCGCGTTAACGGAGGTAAGGATAACTGTGTTGTCAGGTTTCGCTGTCAACGGGTCTTTGGTGATGAAGACATTTTCCTTTAGTCTCTCGGGAGAGAGATCGTGGGTCCGTTCCGAATTGTCTTCTTCGCTCATATTGCTACCCGATTCGTCTGGTCCCTCGCTTACTCTGTTATCGTCCGTCGCTGTTGTATCATCGTCATTACCACATGGTGTCACAGTCGACTCGTTGGTGCTGAACGGTGATGTTGCCTGGGGTCAGGCTCGTTGAAGACCACTCGGTCCTGCTATCGCGTCGAATTGGACAGCCGTTGAAGAGGGCGGTTGTGATACGGATGGTGCGGGTGGCGGTAATGCGGTGTCGTTACTCTGGGCGTTTAGTCCCTGTCCATTTAGTGACGATATGGTGGCATCAGAGGGATCAGTCCTCCTTCTTTTCCGCAGTGGAGTAAAAATGTGGTCGTCGGATGATGAGTCCTCGTCGTCAATGGCAAATAAACTTTTGAGGTTGGCATCGTGTTGGTGAGTCTCTGGTGGGTTTCGCGATAACGCATCTGCATTCAAATTCAGGCTTCCCTTTTTGTAGTCTATAGAATACTCGTACTCTAGCATGTATAGCCTCCACCGCACAATTCAGGAGTCCGGTGAGGTGACGGAAGTCAGCCAACTAAGAGGTCGATGGTCAGTCACTATGGTGAATTTCCGGCCATATATGTACGGCCTGAATTCCGTAACGGAGTAAATGATCGCTAACATTTCGTTCTTGATCAGAGTACTTGTTTTCAGATTTTGTAAGCAATCTGGATGTGTAGGATACCGGAACATCTTTGCCATTCTTTCTTTTGACTTAGGATTACACCGATTCCGAAACTGCTGGCGTCGGTAGTAATAAAAAATTCTACCGTGAGATCTGGATATTGTAGCACAGGGAGATTTATCAATGCTCCCTTTAAGGTGGCAAACGCTCTTTCTTGGCAGTTCGTCCATTCGAACTTGACATCTTTAGCGAGCAATGCAGCCAAGGGCTTAGATAAGTTTGCGAAGTTCGGTATAAATCTCCTGTAATACCCAGCTAAACCGAGAAATTCCTGTTTGTTTCTTACAGTTTTGGGTCTCGGAAAAACCCTTTCTGCTTCCATATTCTTGGGATTCGGTTATACGCCTTCTACTGAAATCATATGTCCCAAATGTACAAACTTCCTCTGCAACAATCCGCACTTTTCAGCGTGAAGTTGCATATTGGCGGATCGTAAACGCGTTGCTAAGTGTTTGCACCTCTCCACGTGCTCTTCTAGGGTCTTCGACTACACGACAATATCGTCCATGTAGACAAATAACTCGACACCTACTAAACCCACCAGAACCGTGTCCGTGGTTCGTTGTAACGTGGAAAGCCCGTTCTTCACGCCGAAAGGCATTGCCGTGAATTCTAGGTGCTTTCCGGCCACTGTAAATGCAGTTTTGTGCCATTCCCGAGGATCCAAAGCGATTTGATGAAAACCGCTGGCCAGGTCAAACACCGAAAAGTATCGTGCTCCGCCCAATTGGTCCAATATTTCGGTGATGTTGGGTATCGGGTATGCATCGTTAACAGTTTTTTCATTAAGTTGTCGAAAGTCTACAACCATTCTCCATTTAATTTTTTCCCCAGTTTCCGATTTCTTCGGGACCATGAAGACCGGGGACGAATACGGGGATTGGAAGGGCTGCACAAGATTTTGATCCTCTAGTAATTGAATCTGGCGTGCAATTTCGTTTTTGTGAGCAGGAGGAAAACGGTAATGTTTTTTATGTTCCGGAATTTCATCCAAAGTAATGATTCTATGTGGCGGTATCTTAGCTGGTTTTAGCAATTCTCTCTCCAGTCTAAATATGTCGGCGTTGCTAGCAATGAGCGAGGAAAGGTGATTTGCTTCATAGGCCGAGAGCTTATCGTGAAGGAGAATATTTTGGATCCTTCGTACCCTGTGACCTTTCAGTAGTGTTTCATTAGTTTTTATGTAGGCTTGGAATTCAGCCACATGCGTGTTGATGACCTTATACTCTCGTTGAAGCTGCAGCCGCTCCGACCGTGTATTCCGTAAATGAGGCAAATGTACGTCGAGATGCCGTTGACACTGGTCGACTAGAGTGGGGAACTCGAAATTTCCAAATGTCACGGGAGGTATCATTACCGTCTGGTCCGCGGTGTCAGTGTTTGTCACTTTCAAAAAGGTGCGACATTTTTCTTGCGTTTGAAAGTGCCCTCCGGCTATTAATCATTTACGCAATTTAATTGGTGGGATGAAGCCGAAAGATTCGGAATCTTCAGTCGTTTTGGCAAGAACGGATACCGTGACATTCGCAGGAACGGTTACCGTAGTTTTATTCGAGAAAGGTGGAGCCGCGTTGTCTATCACGAGTTGCTCGTTTTCGTAATCAATAACAGCCTTGTATTTTCAAACATATGGGGTTCCTAATATATCTCCGAAGGCAATAGGAAAGTGATCATTTATTACGAGGAATATAGTTTGTTTATCGAGTATTCTGACGGTAATTGTTCCTATGCTTTGTTGAACACCTTCGGTAATTCCTTTTAAGGAAATATTCTCGCGGGTTTTTATGCGTCCTCTGTTTTGGACGTATCTTAACTTAACCCCTTAACGCACAGATTAAAAAAAAAACCGGCCAAAAAAAATCAATTTTTTGATGTAAAAAAACACTAGAACATTTAGAGTGTGAGAAATTATAGTAGCATAAAATACAACGCCGCTCGAATTATCTCGAGTGTGCACAGTTTGGAATGTACAGTGCGATCGAATTAAATCGAGGGCACGAGTTAAGGGGTTAATGACGTTCACTTGTGCGCCAGGATCAATCATAAAGGTTACAGGTGAGCAAAACTGCGACTTATCATAATATTTAAGATTTACCGACGGCAAATCGTCGTCATTTCGAAGGATGCATACGCCTTTTCCGCGATCATTATTTTGCGTTGGGATTTCAGAAGAGGCGCTCTGTCGATATTGTGCCACCTGAGGTATTTCGGTAGGAGTTTCAGACGACTGGATATACTCGTTCAATTTTCGAAATCTTGGGCTGCATATTCCCCTTGAGAAGGTGCGGAAACGAGCACGTTTTTGGACTGTTTATTGACTAGGCTTCGGAAATACCGTCAGTCTTCTAAAGTATGACTATCAGTTTTATGTAAGGGACATTCGGTTTCAAAGGACGATCCTGTCCATTGTTGATAACCTACATTGTTTAAACGTGGTGCATTCCTTTTCGTGTCGGCTTTATTGAATGATGTAGTTCCAACCCGCGCAGCCGTTTCCCATGAAAACTTGGGAGCAGCCTCTTTCGGGACCATCCGGC